AATAAAAAATTATAGATTTTCACAAATGAATGAAGTGAGTATATATATTTTATTAAAATATATAAGTTTTTATTAATTTAAAATTAGAACAAGATCAAGATCAAATAAACAATAATAATGAGAGAAAATAGTCAAAAGCCCCCTCAACCTATTAGCCAATTCTCAACTACACACTTATTCTATACGGGTTTCTATTACCCCCCTAAACTATATAAATATGGAATAATCACCTCCCTAAAAAGTCATAACCAGTTTTATGTCAAAGATGTGCAGCACACGCTATGAATCACTTTACCGTCATTTTCCCCCCCTGTAAATTATAAACCTAATCAAAATAATAATTTAATAATCATCTGTAAAATTGTGTAAAGTTTTCATTTTTATCAAATCTGAAAATTAAAATTTACAAAAAATGCTTTCAAATAGAGATTATTTTTCCAAAATACTAATGATTTCTTTAGAGAATAATAAGAGAAAATGAGGAAAAAATCTCTACACCAAATTAAAGAAGAAGAACAACTCCACACCTAGTCCACATACACTATCAATTTGAAATCGAACTCAAAAAAATAAAATCCACAATAAGTATTCACAAATATGGGAGTGAAAAAACAAATTTGGTAAGAATGAAATAAGAAAGTGAAATTTCAAATTCACCATTGTTGGTTCATTGTGGTTTGACTTCTTTTTATTATTATTTTTTTTTTTGCTGAAATTATGAGGGGTTTAGAGAAAAAAACTTGAACTCCATTTTTGAGCTACATATATGAAAGTTCCTTATGAGTTAGGTGATTGTTGTTGCTAAAAACGATTGATATATGATTAACTAAGCATAAATCAGTAGCTACAAATTGATTTGGAGCTCTTTGAGACGAAATTTAGAAGACCACCATTGAAGGACTTTGAGAAAAACTTGAAGAAATCATGAAGTGGATATAACAATTTTGTGATATAAGAAAAGGAAAGAATAAAAAAAAATTAATTATATAATCTCCAATGAGAGACTGCCACATGGACTATTAAATTCAATTTTAATCATTGTCTTTTTGTTGAACCCTTACATGCCGTATTCACCTTCTTGGACATGTCAGCGTTTAAGGATCGTAAATTATTGAGAATAAAAAATTTAGAGAAATAATAGGACCCCATAAAATATAAGTGTATAATTGAAAATTGACTAATAATTGGGGGCATTTGTCTATTTTCTCATAATAATGACAGAAGAGCAACAATAACCAAAAGAGTAGTTGCACCTCCTCATCTTTATCAATTCCAACATACCTACTTAATTAATTACACAGTCATATAGAATATAAAATAAATAAAGTGAGCATATATTTTATTTAAGTCTATAATTATTTTTTCAAAAGTTTAATTTTCTTAAAATTCGAGCAATATCAAGATCAAATAAACAATGACAACGACAGAAGAGCCACTGAAATAATTAATTAATAATTAAATAAATATGATTTTAGTTTTATTTATAATAACAAATTTTAGAAATTACGTACTTAAAAATTCATTAATATATTACTTGTTTACGGTTGAATTTGTTGCAGTTAATTTTGTTATAATTTATAATTCTATTAAAAAAATAATCATCTATATACCTTTAAAATACACTATTAAATAGTGCAGGGGGTAAAAGATCCTCCATAAAGTTTGGTATCGTGACAGCAATTTCGGTCAAAGTTGAAGTATTTTTCAGACATTTTTCCCTATTTTTAAATATATTTTTCTTTATCATCTAACTTTAGACACATATTTAGCGAAGGAAAATCATAGGAAGTGGAAGGAACTTCTTTCGAGTGCGGGGTTCATGAGTAAATATATTGAGAACTTCATTCACAACTTGCATGGACTTCTAGTTGAAAATACTTACATAATTAGCATATGTGAATCGATTGTTGAAGTTATGGGGTTGACAAAATTCACTAATAATAATGGAGAAATGATCTAATGGACCATTATACTCGTACTAGTTTGATTTATGGACCCTTCTACTTAACTCTTTACCAATTGAGCTCTTAAACTCAATCAAAAGAAGATTTTTAAACCCCTCCTACCATGTGTGTAGTTGACTCTCTCTTAAATAGATGGCATGTCAAATCCACGTCATTTAAATGAATAACATGTCACAATTATATTCATTAACTATTTTTTTTTTAAATAATTAAAAATATTAAATAAATAGGTTAAACAATCTTTTAACTCACCATTTTTAATTAAATAAAATAATATTTTAACTCCACACGGTTGATAAAAGACTCAACAATGAAGAAGACGATTTCTTATTTTTTAATTTCTTTTTTCAATTTATTATTTTATAATTTTAATTTTTTAAAATTTAAATATGATATCACTCAAGCAGGCGTGTAGTCACACACTCTTACCAATTCAGCCATCTTAATGCCACATAAGCTTAATCAACGGTCAGAAGTGTTCAATATATGGTGTTTTACCTAATTTAAGGGTTCAATTGATAAAGAATTAAGTAGAAGGGTCTATAATACAAACTCGTATAAGTACATGGTCCATCAGACTTTTTAAAAAAAAATATAACCACACTACTCTCGTTTAATATTTTTTAAAACTCTGGAAAAGACTAGACAACTACCACTTTGTCATCAATTATTATTAATATGCCAGATACAAGATAGAATATTTCAGAATTAAGTTTAAAATTAAAATTATACTATATTTGATTGAAGTTTATGAATTTATCTCAAGAGGTAGCAATTCATCTAAGGATGGGAGAGTCAAAGCTGGAAATAGTGATGTTTCCATGGCTTGCTTTAGGGCATTTGATCCCATATATGAATCTGTCAAATGAACTTGCAAAAAGAGGTCACAAAATCTCATTTTTGTTGCCCAGAAATGCAGAAATTAGACTTCAAAAACTCAATCTTTACCCAAATCTCATCAAATTCCATAAACTGACAATACCTCATGTTGATGGCCTTCCATATGGAGCAGAGACTACAGCTGATGTTCATAGATCTTTGGAGAGTCTATTAGCAACAGCTTTTGATGAATTGTATGATGAAATCAAATCTTTTCTTCAAAATCTAAAACCCCATTTCGTTTTCTTTGATTTTGCTTATTGGATTCCTGATATAGCACGAGAAATTGGGGGTATCAAGACTCTGTTTTACCTACTTGTTTCCCCTGCTGCAATGTCTATATCACCGGATAAGGCTACTTTTATGACATCAACTGCTGCTGAGCTAGTAAAGCCACCACCAGGTCACCCTTCTTCCTGGATTCCGTGTTTACTTCTATAAATAAATGTTTGTGATTATAAATTTTCAAATATATGCATTATAATAGTAAATTTGCAATTTCATTCTGCTCTCTAAAGATGTGGTATCTATCTCCCTCCAGGTTACCCTTCTACTACTGTGGTGTTGCGTGAAAGTGAAGCTAAGTTGTTATCATTTCTATTTCATGAATATGGCAAGGGTGTGACGTTTCAAGAACGATTGAGCAAGGGATTTACACAATGCGATGTAATAGCTGTGAAAACATGTAGAGAGATTGAAGGAATCTTTTGTGACTACGTAGCAACACTACTTGAAAAGCCAGTCCTTTACGCTGGACCTGTAATTCCCGACCCCAAAAAGGAGCAACATGAATTATCAAATTGGCTCGAGAAATTCGAACCAGGATCAGTAGTGTTCTGTGCATTTGGGAGCCAATTGATTCTTGAAAAGAAACAGTTTCAACAACTTGTTTTAGGCCTTGAATTGACTGAGTTACCATTTCTTTTAGTTGTTAAGCCACCTCAAGGGACAAATTCAGTAGAAGAAGCCTTGCCAGAGGGATTCAAACAAAGGGTTCAAGAAAAGGGATTGATTCTTGATTGTTGGGTGCCACAATTGGAGATTTTAAGACACAAATCAGTTGGTTGTTTCGTCACTCACTGTGGTTATGGGTCAATGTGGGAGTCTTTGGTGATGTGTGATTGTCAATTGGTACTTTTGCCAAGGCCTATTGATCACATTTTTACTGCTAGGCTTATGGAACAACACCTTAAGGTTGGTGTAGAAGTGGAGAAGGATGAAAATGATTTGTTTACAAAGGAGAATTTGTGCAAGGCTGTGAAATGTGTGATGGATAAAGATAGCCAAATTGGTTGTTTAGTGAAAGAGAATCATAGGAAATGGAAGGAACTTCTTTCGAGTCCTGGCTTCATGAGTAACTACATTGATAACTTCATTCAAGACTTGCATGGACTTCTGGTTGAAAAGATCTAGATGATTATCAGAGGTGGATCTTATGTTGAAGTTACGAGGTTTGCAGAATCCAGTGTATTTGTGTGTTTTTGTTAAGAAATTTTTTACTTAATATGTATGAAAAATTATCCCAACCAATTGTTATTTTGTTTTGAAATTCAGAATCATAAACTTAAAACTATGTATCTAGTGATGTTAACTTGCATTTATAAAATGTTTTCATGCCTTACCTATGAGTTATACACCTTTTCTTCAATTTTTTGTGCCACTTTTTCTTTTAAAAAAGGTTTGATATATTTTAACTACGGAAAAGGGGCAAAAGTATTCCCATCTATTTTTGGCTCAACACTACTTCTCAAATTAACAGCCAAAACCTGATAACTTTTTGCAATTTAAAATAATTGCATGGCTATTATGATTTGTCACATGTAGTAATTAAATCCACTAATTTCTTAAAACTAAACTGTCTGTAATTGTGGACAAAAGGGAGTTATTAGTATGGTAAGCACCTCTTACTTCTAATTCGAAGGTTGTGAATTCGTATCGGCAAGAGAGCAAAAAGAAAAGGGGGGGGGGTTGAAGAATCTTTTGAACCTTGCAATTTCTATTTATTGCTCTTCTAATATGAAAAATGAAATGTGGAACATAAAAGATTGGATGTCTTTCGTAAAGAATAATAACATTATAGAGGATTGTGACTTATCCATCTTTTTGAACAATGAAATGTGGAACATAAAAGATTGGATGTCTTCTGTAAAGAATGATAACATTATAGAGGATTGTGACTTATCCATCTTTTGAACATAGCAAAACATTCTTCAGGTTTATCCGTACAAGCTGTGTGTCCGGATCCCTATTAAAGAAAAATAAATAAAATGCAAAGTAAAATACAAATATAAAATAAAACCAATCTTACTAAATTGAGACAAATTAATTATTTTTCATTTTTCATGAAACTTATTTCTACAATTAATTCCATACCTTCAATGTTGCATAAGTCATTTTGTTGGAGTAAGATCTCGTATAACTACAAGGATACAATATTAGAAAAATGATTAAGCATTATCAACTCACATAATGATTAGTTTAAATTAATAATTAATAATTGTAATTAAGGATGTTAAATTTGGAGATTAATTACCCAGCAACTTGATTATTTGTGTTCCATTGACGCCAATCATCAACAATAGAGTAATTTAGAGACTATCCATGCTTGTGTGGATTGAAAAGGTTCCATATAATCATGATCACCACTGTTTAAACATAAAAATAGTAATAAAAAAACCCATCATTTAATTATTGAAAATACATACAAAAAAATGCTAATGACATGAAAAAAGTTCCTCTATATATCTTTGTTGGGGACACACATCTTTTTTAGTAATCTTTTCTTAGTTTTGTAGGACTTGGTGAGATTTAGGAGCCGTTTGAACATGAAAATTATTTATTTATTTATTTCAAAAAAAATTGTTACTTTATTTAAAAACCAGTATTTGGATGGCAACTTCAAATATAAGAAGTTGTATTTGAATCTGGATATACTCAAAACCCTGTTTCCACTTTTATTAGTTATTTCTTTTTCAATTTACTCCCAATTGTTTTTTTTAATGAAAATAACTCATATAAATTATAGGCCAAATTCATCGGTGACCAGAGCCAGAGCCAGTATTTTCAATAAAGGGGTTCAAAATGTGAAAAAATAGACACACGAAGTAGCCGAAGGGATTCGACATCTACTATAGATACCTAAAAATTATTTTAACCATGTATATAAATCATAATTTTCATTAGCCTAAAATTATGTATGATGGTGATGTATATACCTAAAAATTATTTTAACCATTATAAAAAGATTTGTAAAAAAAAAAAATGAAACGAAAAATTAGAAGAAATAAATAAATAAATAAATAAAAGGAGCAGACGTAATTTTTTTTATAAAAGATAAAAAGTTAAACAAAAAAAAAGGGGAGAAAACGTAATTAAAAAAGAAGGGAAAGTTAAAAGGAAAACGTGAAAAAAAAAATTAATTATAAATTTTTTTAAGAAGAGAGAGAAACAGAATAAAAAAATAAGGGAAAAGGGTCAAAAATACCATTCAACTTTGGTTTATTGTTTGACTTTACCCTCGCCGTTAAAATGAAGTTAATTTTACCCCTCCCGTTACTAATTTCACCAAATTTACCCCTCAATTGACGAAAATCCCCAAATTGACTCAATTTAACCCAAATATTTAAAAAAGACCCATTCCCCATTTTAAACTCAATGCCCGACCCATTTATACCAAATTAGAACCCTAACCCAATGCCCGACCCATTTATACCAAATTAGAACCCTAAACCCATCTCTCTAATCTTCTCCATCTCCTTCTTCCATTGAAACACATACTACTAAAATTGACAGCAAATGTTCTATAGTTAAACTCATGCATATTTGTCCTTTCTACTAAAATTGCACCACTATTTCGTAATTTTGACATAGAAACCCCATCTGCCTTCACCTGGCAAACCTCATGAAACCATTTAGAACCACCTGTATTTTTTAACAGGAAAAAATGTTCAGCTAAAAATGACAGAGATATTTACGGAGGAAATATGAAGTTAAACAAATACCCGGATGAAAATAGCAATCAATGTCATCCTTGACTACAATGAAAATCCCATCCAAGTTTGACAGTGGGTTTCCTCCATGACCACATTCAATAGAGGATGTATATGAAGAAGATTAGAGAGATTTAGCACACTAGTGTGGTCGGAGCTTGGAGCTCGTTCAATCATCGAATTTTGCTTTCCTGCAGGCAGATCTGAAACTATGATATTGCTTGCTTGTTGAGCCTAGCCGGATATGAAGTTGTGGCTGTTGTTTTTTAGCCTTGATTCTCACCTGATTGTGTTGTTGGTTTGATCTGTTAGCGGTGCTTCAGTTGTTTTCCGATGGGGTTTTGATCGGGGTGTCGTTGGTTGGTTGTTTGGAGGTCGGAGAATTGGTGGTCTGGTGGTCATTTGCTGGTTGTTTTAGCTTGGGTGATGGAGGTCTGAAGTGTGGTTTTACCACTGGATTTTGGCGTGGAGAGGGTGGTGTTTGAGAGTTGTTTCAGGTCAGTTTCACGGCTGTTTGAATGATTCCGACGGTGGGTAATTTGCTTAATGTTGTTCCAGCTTGAAACTGGCCGGAAATGGAGAAGAAAGATCTTGTTGTCGTCAATGGAAAGTAGAGGAAAATGGGTTTGTTGTTAATGTTTTCTACTTGATGTCGTTTCTGGTTTTTGGGGGTTTTGAGTGGTGGTTTCAGGTGGTCGTTTGGAGGTTGTTTTGGTGGTGTTTCGCCGGAAAACGGAGAAAATGAATGGAGGGGTTTTGAATGGTGGTTTCAGGTGATCGTTTGGAGGTTGTTTTGGTGGTGTTTCGCCAGAAAATGGAGAAAATGAATGGGGATTGCCGGAGCTTGATTTGGGGTTTTAATTTGGTATAAATGGGTCGGGCATTGGGTTTAAAATGGGGAATGAGACTTTTTTAAAAATTTGGGTTAAATTGAGTCAATTTGGGGATTTCCGTCAATTGAGGGGTAAATTTGGTGAAATTAGTAACGGAAGGGGTAAAATTAACTTCATTTTAACGGCGAGGGTAAAGTCAAACAATAAACCAAAGTTGAGGGGTATTTTTGACCCTTTGCCCAAAAAATAATAATAATTAAAAAAAAGTGTAGCATGCAAAAAAAAGAAAAAAATAGATTTTTCTTTCTAAAATTAATCCTAAATCCCATAAAATTTTATCTACTATTTTAAATCTAACTAAAAAAAACAATCCTAAAATAACCCAAATACTAAAAACTCATTCCTACATAAATTCTAATTCCTAATAAGTAGATACCTATATATATTCTATTCATAATAACGTTAAAGAAAAATACGAATACATGCAAAAAAAAAAAAAGGGAAAAGAAAATACGGGTGTTTCAAATTAGTAAAGTTCTATTTCTTAACTTTATTCTATTTTGTTTGAGTAAATTTATATGCTTATACATATTTTTATTAATGGACACACTTATAAAATACGATAACTTTTAAATAGATTAAAAATAAATCAAAGAATGAGAGTAGATATTATTATTTTTCTACTTTTTTAGTTTTTTTTTTCAAAGTCCAAAAAATTGATTGAGATTAAGGCTGGGCACCGGAACGGGTTGTACCGGTACCATTCCGATCCGTTCCGATACCATTCCGGTCCGGTAGTATTCGGGACGGGATGGGATACATTGAACCGGTACACGGAACGGAACGGTATCATGATTTGGTACCGGTATATCGGTACCAGTTCATTCCGGTTCCGTTTCGGTCTGGTCCGGTATCGGTCCGGTCCCGCTAAATCATTTTTAATTAAAATAAAAAATAATATTTTTGTCATTATTTACTTTAATTAGCATTTCTTTTTTGTTTATTTAATTTTTTAAAATTACAAACTTAAGTTATTTAACTTACAAGTTATAAGTATAACTTAATAACTTATAAACTTCAAAAGATTCAAATCTTTAAAACTTATAACATAACTACATAAGCTCAAAAACTAAAAAAAACTTTAATTAAACTTAACTTACAAACTACTTATACGTAAAATTAAAAATAATATCTTTAAATAAACTTAAGTAAAATTATTATAAATTTTAGAACTTAAATACTATAAACTAATATAACTTAGAAAATAAAAAACATTTGTATTTTCGTAATTCAAAATAACTCAAAAAATAATTATTTTTTGAAATAGCTATATGTGTCGTCCCGTTTATCCCATCCCGTTCCGTTCCGGTCCATTCCGGTCCGTCCCGATTCTATCCCGGTATATATTGGGACAGGACGGAACTGAGCCTCCATCCCGGTAGTTCCGGTCCGGTTCATCCCGGTACCGGTCAACAACCCGGTCCGGTACCGGTTCGTTCCGGTCCGATGGTCCCATTCCGGTCCGGTGCCCAGCCTTAATTGAGATACATTACTTAATCGCTTGCTCCATTTTTCAATTTCTTCGTTATTGTTTTCTTCCTTGCTTTAACACCCATCTTTGAGCTATAAGCCTTAGTAGACCTCACCGGAGAACGGTGACAGATAAGCAGATGAATTCGCTGGAGCTGCTGCCAAGCGTAAGAGAGTTTTTTTTTTGTTCTCACTTTTAATAATATATGATTTTCCTTTGAGAGAATGATGCAGATAAGCGAAACTTTTAACACATATTTCTTATTTCCTTTTAAAAAAAAATTAGTTCGAAGAAAAGGTAAAAACTTGCTGAAGAAGCAACGTTAGAAAAAACAGCGAATTTTGTTCAGAATAACTGCTATTTATAGCGAAATCAGCAGGGATTAGGGTTTTTAATACACCTTTCAACTTTCTTCCCTACAGATCAACAAATCCATGGCGAAACGAAAAGAAGAGAAAATTGATCATTGTGCACAGGTCACAAGTCGTATCCTTCTAAAGGAGATTCAAAAGGAGCTTAAAAAAACTAAAAATTCGAATACTAACATATTGCTCTCTCCACTGTCTTTCCACGCCGTACTGAACATGACGGCTGCCGGAGCAACGGGAGATACATTGAATCAGATGCTTCGATTTCTCGGTGTTCAGGACATTGATGATTTGAATTCGAAATTTTCAAATTTGTCTTCTGTTATGGAGAGAAATAGTAATGGTGGCCCTGCTTTGAGTTTCCTTAATGGAATGTGGGTGGCTCATACACATGAAATCAGAGACTCTTACAAACAATTAGCCAACACTCTCTATGAAATTGATCCTAAAGTTGTTGATTTTGAACGCAAGGTAAGTGCTCTGATTAATCTTTTGAAGTTTTATCTATCATGTAATGTATTTTTTTGATGAATAAATGTTTGGATAGATGGTGCATTGATTAATCTTTTGAAATTTTATCTATCTTGTCATAATTGTAATGTATTGTTTCGATGAATAAATGGTATTTTTTCCTACCTACATAAGGATAATATACTCCTCGCTATAAAAATAGTACATTAGCTCTAAGATCTATTGGAATCCTTTACATTTTTCCTGTTAGATGATGAAGGAGTTCCGGCTATGAAGGTAAGGATGGAAATGCCGTTTCAATTATAGCTGCTGAGAGTATTGTGTTGTAGTATGAGTCATCTTATCATAATCTCCTATCTATTATTGTTAATTAATCTCAGATATGCTCTCTAATGAGTTGTAACATGTGCCTGAGTTTATGTGATGAAACTAATTCTGCTTTATAGTTTTTCCCTGGGGATCTTATGAATTGTTTTAACTTTTGTCATTTCCACAACATGAATAGACTTGGTTATTGTATCTTCACTTTGTCCTTTTTATCCCTTTAAACCAGTACAGCACAAAAGTTAACAACCATTCAAACAAGCTCAAAATTTAATTTTCTTTGTAATGTTTTTGAAATTTGCTTACAGAAAAGTGAAATTATTTGTATTGGTGGTTTAGTTGAGAAGTAGATCTTGAATTATCATATACATCATTTCAACAAACTAGTAGCTATTTAGAGCATGAATTATCCTTCCTTGATTGGAATAGTAGTCTGTTTACAGTGGAAGATAGAACCTAAACTCCTTTCTTCTTATGATGGTGCACCTCGAATGTACTTGTGTCCTTCCACCACTATTTCAAGTATCGGTGTCTTTGCCTACCAAAGTTTAGCTGTAATTTGAACCACGTACTTTCGCATGGTTTTCATACCAATTTGATGTATCAAAAATATATTATATATAGATTCCCATGTCAAATGTTTTACCTTCAAGCTATTTTGTGTACAATGCTGAACTCCATAAATAAATTGAGTTCAGTATTAACTTATGAATGGATTTGTGCATAGCAAATAAACAGAATGAATTCATTATGCTGCAGGAAGAAGTGGTAGAAGAAGTTAACACCTGGGTAGAGTCTGCATCAAGAGGCCTTATCACAAACATTATAAAGCCAAATCACATCAATGATAAAACAAAGGTCATTCTCACAAATGCTCTGTATTTTAAAGGTACATGGAACTTTGATCAAGAACGCACCATTGACAAAGACTTTTACCTTCTCAATGGTGACAAAATCTCAGTTCCCTTCATGACTGGCTGCTACGATTACAAATATGGATCATTTGAAGGCTATCAAGTTGCTAAAATTCCATATCAAACTGGAAAAAAAGACGATAAAAAAGTCTTCTCTATGTTTATTTTCCTTCCAAATGAAAAAGATGGATTACCTAGCTTATTGGAAAAAGTGAATTCTGATCCAAGTTTCTTTACCCAAGGCTTCAGTCTTTCGGCTGAACCACTTGATGCATTCTACATCCCAAAGTTCAAATTCTCGTACACTGCAATGAAACAAGTTATAAGAACAATGAAGGAAATGGGATTGACTCTTCCTTTTGATAACAATTGCAATGAGTTAACAGGGATCGTGGAACCTCATGGGCCATTCTTTATCAACAGGATAATACAAAAGGCATTTATCGAAGTAAATGAGAAGGGTACTGAGGCAGCAGCTGTTACTGAGGAATCAGATGATGACATGGGATTTTCGATGTATGAGGCACCAAGATTTGTAGCCGATCACCCTTTCTTGTTCATGATAAGGGAAGAGGTTTCAAGATTGGTGCTTTTCACTGGAGCTGTACTAGATCCATCAAATGATCATTCATCAAGTGATTTGGATGATTAGTTTCTTAAATTAGTATTTGCTTAAGAACTTTAAGGGTTTGTGTTTAAATTAAAGTGTTATTAGAAAATAACTGATGAAGTGTGACTGTGTGACCTTGAGTTGTCCAAAGACTTCATATTTTATCAATAAATTTCGTTAATCATTTTTGTAAAGAATATTTCAACTCTTGTTCAGTAACACTTGCTTCAACTAATAGTTAGAAGGAAATTTTTGTCAACTTTAATTTGAAAAAGTAGTTTCTCCGTCCCAATTTATGTGGCCTAGTTGGTTCATATATCTCAATGCTTTGTACTTGTACTTCAGCGGAACCTGGAATGAGAAATTCAATGCTTCAAAGACAAAGGAGTACCTCGGTTTTTGACTTATAAGCCAAAATTCATAAGTTAGGAATTTAATGGCAACTCTCTTCAAGACTAGCGAAACAGAGCAAGTTGTTAAAGATAATAATGGTTTCAAAGTTTCGCATCTTCTATATCATCAAGGCCATGATAATAAGTGCGACTTTTCCATGTACCTGTTTTTGCGTAATGCTTATAATGGTACTACCTGCTTTAACATAACAAAATCAATTCAAAATCTAGATTCAGTATTGTTGCACAGTTACTCGAATTGCTAATCGCCACAATTAAATTGAATTGCTTGGTTTGATGTAAACATCAAATGCAAGTAAGACTAGATCTGATGATGAGGAAATATGTTCCAGTTGTGTGTTTATGAATTTTATTAATTACTTTTTAGAGTTAAGAGTGCTAAAAAGTATACCAAATAAGAATTTAACAACTTAAAATCTTAGGTTTTTGTATAAAATTCTTGGTAAGTGTCCATATTTATGGTACACAATCTCCTAATTAAAGTAAAACTTGTAAACTTGGGCTACAAGAAACTATCATCATATTTAACGTGCAATATTCATCATATTACATATTATTCACATCAAATTCTTGCAAAGCTTTCAACTTTGAAACCATGGATGAAGCAATGATGAAGAAAAGAAAAAGAAAAGTCACTCATACATCTTCTTCGCAAGCAAATATCGATATGGAACAGTTTGTCACAAACCAAACGGATGTTTCTTTCAGGCTAACTAAACAAGTTTTCTCCGAAGAAGTTAAAGGTGATTCGAACCTGGTGTTCTCTCCTCTGTCAATTCAAATAATTCTTGGCTTAATCGCCTTCGGCTCAAACAAACCAACTAAGAGCCAGCTACTCTGTTTCCTCAAGTCCAAATCCATTGATGAACTTAATTCTCTGTATTCTCATATTGTCAACAACATTTTTGCTGATGGAAGCCCCAATGGTGGTCCCATTTTGTCCGTTGCTAATGGTGCTTGGATCGACCGATCAACACCTTTTAAGCCTTCTTTTAAGGAGATTGTGAAGAAGGTTTACAAGGCTACTTCAAAATCTGTTGATTTTCAGAACAAGGTTAGTCCTTCAGCTTGTTTGGATGATTGCTACCGGTTGTTTCATAATATATTGTTTTATCCTGTATTGTATTGTACTGTGTTGTATTGTTTGTTGTGAATAGTGGCAAAAAAAATCAATTTGACTCTATCCATTATATAATGGAGTGAGAAAAACATTAGGTAATTTCGTCAATCTAGCCAAGCTTTGGTGGACAAAGTTAGGGAGGTAGCCATTACTTGTTGGAATAGTCGAGGAGCGTGTAAGCCGGCTTGACCATGTATTCCACTGAATGGCAATTAGTTTTAGATATTTGTAGATTGATATTGTTGTTGTTGTGGCCGGTGCTATGGACTTGAATTAAACATAATTAATACTGATAATTCATATAGTCAATATCAATTAATATTTAGATTATACTGTTGTTAATCCATCAATCTGACTATGAAGTTGTACTTTTTGTTGAATGTTAGTTATAAGATTTTTGAGTGTATCTATATATGTACTAATTCTTGTCCTACTCTGTTTGTCTTCACCTCAAAGCCTGCAAGGTTGTCAATAAAGTCAATCGATGGGCTAAAAAAAATACAAATGGACTCATCGAAGAGATCCTTCCTCATGGCGCAGTAGACAATATGACAAGGCTCATCTTGGCCAATGCACTCTATTTTAAAGGAGAATGGGATGAGAAGTTCAATGCTTCTAAAACGAAAAAACATAAATTCCATCTCGTCAATGGAAGGTCTGTTCGAGCACCCTTCATGACTAGCTGGAAGAAGCAATACATTAGAGTCTTCAAGGGCTTTAAAGTGTTGCAGCTTCCCTATAAAAGGGGCATAGACACACATCAGAAGTTAAGCATGTATTTTATTCTCCCTGATGCACATGACGGATTACCAGATTTACTTGACAAAATCACTTCAAAACCTGGATTCTTAGATCACCACATTCCGTCTAGAAAAGTCAGTGTGGGCAAGTTTCTTATCCCTAAGTTCAAAATATCTTTTGGATTCGAAGCTTCTAAGGTTCTAAAGGGACTCGGCCTCACATTACCTTTTATTGATGGTCTCACTGAGATGGTGGACGCGGATGAGCCTCTGGCAGTTTCACAAGTTTTTCACAAGTCGTTTATTGAAGTAAACGAGGAAGGTACAGAAGCTGCAGCTGTTACTGCTATGACCGGTTGCTCAATGATGATGGTTAAAGAGGAGATAGACTTTGTTGCTGATCATCCATTCTTGTTCCTGGTCAAAGATGAGACTACTGGTGCTGTTCTGTTCATGGGGACTCTGTTGAATCCTCTTGCTGTTTAGCATGTTGCTTCACTACTTCCATTCGTCAATTCTAGTTAGTTACATTGATGTTACCTTTATTTCAGAACTAGTTTCTCAAACGTGCACGTTTATCCCTTACTATTGTTATATAATTTAAAAAATTTTTTTTTTAGTAAAGGGGTAAAATGGTATTTCAACTTTACACTTTGGAGCTTCCCACTTTTAATAATAATAATAATAATAATGTGCCCCTTAATTTGGCATCATTTTACATTTATGCCCTCCAACTTTTAAATATGTTAACAAATAGAAAATGTTTAAATCAACAATATTAATTTTACCAATTTTCATGTATTAAATAAAATACATAAAAAGGGATTGAGCATTTCGTATCAAACAAGAAATATGTAAAATTAATTAAGATAATATAGTCTCTTAACTTTGTGTGCGTCTTTTTTATGATCTAAATATCATTGATAACCTTTTATAGCCATGAATGGATAAAAAAATCATGCACGCTTCTTGACAAGATTGCCTATTTTATTTTAATGAGAAACGGAGCGTGAAATATGTGTATTATTTAAGTAAAGTTCTAGAATTAAAAGGCTAATGAAAGAATACATGAAGTTACACTTTCAAAAATTTACAAGATTAAAAAGCAATTACATCCAATATATAAAAGTGACAGATAAAAAATTAACACACTGGACTTCATACATACATCTATTCCAAAAGCTCATAATAATAGCTAAAAGATCACGACACTACAATGAGTTCATTAGAAATGTAAAAGAAATTATAAAAAACAATAATCCCTAATGGAGAACCGAAAGAGATATGAGGACTTAGGCATATCTAAAAAGAAGTCTTAGGCAAACTTCTTCTCCCATGTATTCTATTTACTCCTTTAATTTATACTATTTCTTCCTGTCTTTTTTGCCTATCATAGATGCGATAATTTTTTTGATTATCCTCTTCTCAAGTTGAAGGACAGTTTCTTTCATTTTTCAATAGTCATCATCCAGTTCTTAAATAGTACTGAAAATGTCTATTCAAATTCTATTTTCAGTTCTAAATAATAGTCGTTTAATATATAGATGGGAAGATGAAAAATACAAATCATAATTAGACTAAGTAAGAGAATTAACATTGCCACTAATTACTGCTCTAAACATGGAATCTAGTCTAATTTGAATGAATAAGAAGATGAAAAATATAAATCATTGTAATTAGTAATAAATAAGGCAACTACAAACCATCTCATTAATTATTAATTTAATATTAATTCATTCATATATAATAATACACTTTTAATACCTTGGTAATAAATAAAATCAGTGGCATTAATCGGGTAAATGGTGGGTGGGGGGGGGGGGTCTTTTCATATACCAGTAATTATTCTAGGCTATACATACATGTACAATCTTTATTATGATATTATCTGAAATATATCTTTTCACATTTCCAAACATTTAATTATTTGCTTAGTCCTTTGAGTTTCTTTTTCTTCTGTTAATAAGAAAAAACTGCACACCTTTAGAAATGTGGAGCATTAATATAGAAATACAAGTAAACCTAGAAATAGGGCTGTTAAACTTCTTATGTAATCTCCCTAAAACGTGTAATTAAGTCTTCAAACTTTTAAAATTTTACTATAAACCCTTGAGGTAATTTTAGTTTTACTATTTATTATTAAATTAATTAGATGTTTACTTATTAACTCACTCTAGAACGTGTATTTAGTCTTAGTTAATTTAAATTTTACTATTTATTATTTAATTAATTAAATATTTGATTTAGTGTAGGGGTAAAATGGTAATTTAACTTTTCACTTTTGAAGCTTCCCACTTATAATAATATATGATATGATATATGATATGATGAATATCATATTATTAACTACAGAAGTTGTGTACGTCTTAGTTTGTCACTTGTTATAGTATTCGATTGGCATATGAGTATTGGTCATATAATTTTACTCGTCGATTTTTTGTTTTTTAAGAAAATAAAATTACAAAGAGGAGGGGAACGAGTGATGCTAGCGATATGAAATTATATGACATGAGCTTTAACAATTCATGTTATACCAGATAGACCATAAATAAAAAAGAAGAAAAAGTATCTGCTTAATTTTCAAGCTACATGCTTATCCAATCAATAAATAACAATATCTTGACTCTACTTAGCTTGTTGAAAGTCAGTGTTACGACTTACGTGTATGAACGCAATCTTCTGAGAATCAAGCTTAATGATCAGTCATTTTCTTTATTTGCCATTTCTCGATTCTATGGAATTGATCCAAATACGAAATTCCACATGTTAAGTATAAATTCTTCCAAAGCTTTTACCTTTGATATCGTGTGTGGTGCCATAAACCCGTCATGGGACTGACTCACTCTCGCTCTCATCATTCTCATTCTTACTCGTCTAATTCTTTCCATGATCAACATATTGATATGGAAATGAGTGAATTGATCACCACCCAAACGGATGTTTCTTTCATTCTCGCAAAGCATGTCTTTTCTAAAGAGATTAAAGGCGATACCAACCTCGTGTTCTCTCCTCTCTCAATTCAAATAGTACTAGGCCTGATTGCTGCAGGATCAAAGGGGACAACTAAGGATCAACTTCTCTGTTTCCTCAAGTCCAAATCCATCGATGAACTCAATTCTCTGTATTCTCATATTGTCAATATTGTCTTTGTTGATGGCAGCCCCAATGGAGGTCCGCGTTTGTCCGTTGCTAATGGTGTTTGGATCGATCAAACGCTGCCTTTTAAGCCTTCTTTTAAAAAGGTTGTGGATAACGTTCACAAGGCTGCTTCAAATTCTGTTGATTTTCAGAACAAGGTAGGCCTTATTGTAATTTGTTTCATTGAAATTCCCTTTTGTTAACTAAAGCATAATGTTAATTCTGACATAAAATCTGTTTGTTTTACTAATTGATTTAGGCTACTGAGGTTGCCAATCAAGTCAATCAATGGGCTAAAATGAAGACAAATGATCTCATCAAAGAGATACTTCCTCATGGCACAGTAAACAATATGACAAGGCTCATCTTTGCAAACGCGCTATATTTTAAAGGAGCGTGGAACGACAAATTCAATGCTTCAGAAACAAAAGACTATGAATTCCATCTCCTCAGAGGAGGGTCTATTAAAGCACCTTTCATGACCAGCAATAAGAAGCAGTATGCAGTAGCCTTTGATGGCTTTAAAGTATTGGTACTTCATTACAAACAAGGTAGAGATACTACACGTCGTTTCTGCATGTATCTAATTTTGCCAGATGCTCGTGATGGACTACCAGCTTTAATAGACAAAATCAGTTCAGAACCAGGATTTTTAAATCACCACGTTCCGTTTGAAAAGGCTAAAATGCGCAAGTTACTTATCCCTAAATTCAAAACAACTTTTGGTTTTGAAGCTTCTAAGGTTCTAAAGGGACTTGGTGTCACTTCCCCTTTCACTAGTGGTGGCCTCACTGAGATGGTGGATTCTGCGTTAGGTGGCAGGTTGTTTGTTTCACAGATTTTTCACAAGTCGTTCATTGAGGTAAATGAAGAAGGAACTGAAGCTGCAGCTGTTACAGCTAGTGTAGTAATGACTAAGTCTTTTATAATTGAGAAAGAAATCGACTTTGTTGCTGACCATCCATTCATGTTCCTTATAAGAGACGATGCTACTGGTGTTGTGTTGTTCATAGGGAGCGTGCTGAATCCTCTAGCTGGTTAATTAGACCATATTGCATGATAATATAAAACTTTGTAAAGAAGGACAGTTTACAGTTTCCTCACTTGTGTTTCTGTTTGATGAGAGATGGATGCTATGTATCTAAATAACCAGTTTCCTGATTTGTGTATTATTTTGATGAGATCTTGTACTGTCTTTGGCACCTTATATAATTGACTCTTCTATGCTTAATATTTGTGTGTATTTCGACATGATATTGAGTTTAAGAAAAACTTAAAAGAGTTTACTTTTAACATGTATGCATAGAACTTTTTGAAATGAAATTGTAAAGGTAATGATCAATAAGCAATTGTTTGATGGAGCTTTCATAATTGTTTAGGTCACAGTATTACTTAATTATAATTTATATGTCTAATGCATATTAAACATTATCCTTAAGGTAACATGTCATTTTCTCCTTCTTGTACTCGTTCTTCTTTAGATATTATATACCTTAACATCCACCTGGACCTTGAAGCTGATTTGATCAAAACAACTTAATGACTAACCAATAATTATTATCCCAGATAATCACTTTCTTTGTTGAAAAAAATTGGAATCCGGAAGAAATGTGATTTCTTGAGATAATAACTGTTATTTGTGCGACTCAAATCCTTAAATAGAGATGCAAAATGTCACCATTATGTGCTTCGGAAACAACAGGTTGATAACTCTGAAGTCAACCCCTGGTGGGACATGCTCTACTTTCCTTCTCCGTGTTATTTTGGTGTTGTTTCCGTCTAACACCTTCTGTTGGTCCCAATCAATCAACATTGACCATATAATAATTGATTTTTGTTGTGGAAAGTCAGTGCTACGCGTTCCTTCCATTGATTACTTCCTGTGTACTGACTCAATTCCTGTATAGTATATAAATTCTTGCAAAGCTTTCAGCTTTGTGATCATTCATTCTACTCACTAAGCCTCCTTCTTCCTCTTCATCTTGTTCGTGTGCAAATATGGATCTTCACGAGTCAATCACCAGCCAGACGGATATTTCTTTCATGCTTGCTAAGCATGTTTTCTCCAACGTAGTTAAAGGCGATACCAACCTGGTGCTTTCTCCTCTCTCAATTCAAATTGTTCTTGGCCTTATTGCTGCTGGCTCTGATGGACCTACTCAGGATCAGCTTCTCTGTTTCCTCAAGTCCAAATCCATTGATGAGCTCAACTCTCTTTATTCACATATTACCAATGTAGTCTTTCGTGATGGCAGCCCCAATGGAGGTTTGCGATTGTCCGTTGCTAATGGCATTTGGATCGATCAAACGCTGCCTTTAAAACCGTCTTTCAAGCAGGTCGTGGATAATGTTTACAAGGCGGCTTCAGAGTATGTTGATTTTCAAAACAAGGTTAGGCCTTAATCTTTCGTTCAAATATTACTCTCTCCGCTTCAATTTGTTTGTCTAACATTTTAAGCCTCTAAACGAAGGGAGCCTTGGTGTGGCTGGTAAAGTTGTTGTCGTGTGACCAGGAGGTCATCAGATCAATCTGTGAAAACAATTTCTTGCAGAAATGCAAGATACAGCTGCGTGAAATAGACTCGTATGGTCTAGCCTTTCACTGTACCATGCGCATCAGGGGAGCTTAGTGCACCGATTTCCCTTTTATAAGCCTCCAACGTTATGTGAATTGAGTACAAATGACTGCAATTACTAATATGAAATGTCTAATACGTACAAATGACTGCAATTACTAATATGAAATGTCTAATACGTACAAATGACTGCAATTACTAATATGAAATGTCTAATTCTACTATTCCATGTTTGTCTTGCCAATTTGATTAAGGCTGCTGAGGTTGTCGATCAAGTCAACCAGTGGACTAAAATGAAGACAAATGGTCTCATCGAACACATTCTTGATCGTGATGCAGTGGACAACATGACAAGGCTGATCTTGGCCAATGCACTATATTTCAAAGGTGAATGGAATGAGAAGTTCGATGCTTCAGAAACAAATGACCACGAGTTCCATCTCCTCGATGGGTTGCCTATTCGAGTACCCTTCATGAGTAGCAAGAAAAAGCAGTACATAGCAGCATTTAATGGCTTTAAAGTATTGAGGCTTCCTTATAAACAGGGAACAGATACGCGTTGCTTCTCAATGTACTTCATTCTTCCAGATGCACATGATGGATTACCCGCTTTATTTGGCAAAATCAGTACAGAACCTGGATTCTTAAATCACCACGTTCCGTTAAGAAAAGTTAGTGTGGGCAAGTTTCTTATCCCTAAATTCAAAATAACTTTCAAGTTTGAAGCTTCCGACATTCTAAAGGGACTTGGCCTAACGTTACCTTTCTGCGGTGGTGGTCTCACTGAGATGGTTGATTCTACTTTACCTGAGAATCTATCTGTTTCAAAAGTTTTTCACAAGTCCTTCATTGAGGTAAATGAGGAAGGCACCGAAGCTGCAGCTGTTACGGTTACTCTAATAATGCCATTGTCCTTGTTTATTGAGAAGGAAATCGACTTTGTTGCTGATCATTCATTCCTGTTCCTTATAAAAGATGAATCTACTGGTGTCGTATTGTTCCTTGGGACTGTAATGAATCCTCTAGCTGGTTAGCCCTACTCAACCAACAAAGAAGAGTGAAGTGGTGAAAACACTCCAAACTTGACGTGAATCATTACTTTCGTCCATGATGCCTAGTACTAATTAAAACACCCCTAGGCTTGACTAACGTAATAATTCATGTCAAGTTTGTTTTAAGTTTGAGTTTCGAGAGAACGAATTAAGGCAACGTGAATTGTCAATCTTTCATAGAAATTTCATTTGTGCTTAATTTGTTTGTTCATTTTGATATGATTTAAAGTTTGAAAGTAATAAAATGTTTTTTATATATACTCTGTTTATGAAGTTAAAACTTCATTCAAACATACAATTTGGATTTTAAAATTTTAATCTTATGGTTTTAAACATGTCACTAAGAGTTAAAGTTATAGTATTGTAAAAGAAAAGGTCATTCTTTTATAAATAGATTAAAAAGGAAAGTATATATTCTTTTTTAAACGGACAAGGAAGAAAAACTAAAATTGGAAAATTAAGTAAAGGCGTTGGTTAAAAGCGTAGCGTAAGTATTACTCCACTTTTCATGCATCCAATTATAATCACAAAACACGGTATTAATTAACACAAACGCTAATCAACTCCTACATAACCAAAATCAGTTAATTAGAGGCGTTTAATTATCAATCCTGCGTATGTTAAAAGCAAATAATTAACCCATACCTTAAATTTAATTAATTACAGTAGAAAAATAAACAGTAGCGTAAGTATTACGAGCACGTTATTAACACAACGCTAACCAACTCCTATATAAAGAGTCGTCTCTCTCAACTTCAATTTCATTCATCACACAAAAAAAGTTATGGATTTCAGTTCTCAGTTCAACTTTATGCATCGCCGCGCATTGCTTCAAAAGCAGAGCCACGTTTCTTCCATTCTCGCAAAGCATTTATTCTTCAACAACTATGGAAAACCCGATTACGATCCGTCTAAAAATGCAAATATGGTGTTTTCTCCACTCTCAATTCAAATTGTTCTCGGCCTTATTGCTTCTGGATCCAGTGGTGCTACATTGGATCAATTGTTGAGTTTTCTCAAATTTAACTCTGTTGAAGAACTTAACTCTGTTTATGCTCGGGTTATTGCTGATGTTTTAGCCGATGGAAGCCCTATGGGAGGTCCTCGTTTGTCCGTTGCTAATGGAGCTTGGATTGATCAAACTCTCTCGTTTAAGCATTCTTTCAAACAGGTTATGGACAATGTTTATAAGGCTACTGCAGCTTCTGTTGATATTCGGTACAAGGTAATTATATTAGTCTTAATCCTTCACTCATTAGAAAAATAAATTGCATACATGTAATATTTGATATTATGTGATACTTCTCTCCATACCAAATTTATGAGGCATCTTTCGAATTTTGAAAAATCAAACAAGATTTATAGTACGTTTTAGTTTTTACATAGTCTTTGAATATGTGATTTTATGTCAAAATTGAAAAGTTTTGACTCTCGATGAGTATAAGCACATTAGAAATGTTGGATATTACGTGATAATACTCCCCTTGGCACCTTTTGGGACAAGTTTTCCTTTACCTCGATTTTTTAACATACCTTGTAAAATGTTTTGAATTGTTAGTTATTGTGATTTAATGTAGTTCTTACGTATATAGTCGGTAATATATTTGTAAAGTTTATGTCAAAAGAATTAATAATTTCATGTCCAAATTCAAATTGAAATTGAAAAATTTGACTCTCAAAGTAGAAAGTGGGCCACATAACAAAATATTATGAGCATGTTGGTTTACAGAATATGAACAAATGAATTTAATGTGCATATAGGAGATCTTGTTTATTTCTCTTAATTCAGCTATATCCTGTTAATAGGCAGCTAATTTTATGTTCTCTGTTTGTTATTAAGGCTGATGAGGTTGCTGCTGAAGTCAATAAGTGGGCAAAAGAGAAAACAAATGGTCTCATCAAACAGATTCTTCCTCCTGGTGTAGTCACTGGCGGGACTCAGCTGATCTTGGCGAATGCACTATATTTCAAAGGAGCCTGGAATGAGAAATTTGATGCTTCAGATACGAAAGACCACGAGTTCCATCTCCTCAATGGAGGATCTGTTCAAGCACCCTTAATGACCAGCCGAAAATGGCAATATGTGAAGGTGTTTAATGGTTTCAAAGTGTTAAAACTTCCTTATAAACAGGGTGAGGACAAGCGATTTCTCAGCATGTATATGTTACTCCCAGATGCACGTGACGGATTACCAGCTTTACTGGAGAAAATTAGTTCAGAACCTGGATGTTTAGATCAACATATTCCGTTAACAAAAGTTAGAGTGCGCAAGTTTCTTATCCCTAAGTTCAATATATCTTTTGGACTTGAAGCTTCTAATGTTCTAAAGGGACTCGGCCTCACATTACCTTTTACTGCCGGTCTCACTGAGATGGTGGGCGAGAATTTGCCTCTGGTAGTTACACATGTTTTTCACAAGTCGTTTATTGAAGTGAACGAGGAAGGTACAGAAGCTGCAGCTGTTACTGTAGCTTTGAATACGTTTGGGTGCTCATTGACAATGTTTAATGAGGAGGAGATAGACTTTGTTGCTGATCATCCCTTCTTGTTCCTTGTGAAAGATGAGACTGCTGGTGCTATTTTGTTCATGGGGACTCTGTTGAATCCTCTTGATGTTTAGCATGTTGTTTCACTACTTGTCTACTTCCATTCATCAATTTTAGTTAGCTAAAATTGATGTTACCTTTATTTTAGTACTAGTCCTTGGACACGTACTTTGCACGTGTATTCCATACAATTTTAAACTACACAAACACACACAGTCAAATAATAACTCAACTTTATAGGGTTATTTTGGTATTTCAACTTTTAACTTTTTTTGCATCTATTTTTAGTGAAATAATTAATAATTAATGATGATATTATTGTAGTAACTCAACTTTATAGGATTATTAATCAAAAGTCCAATGATTGCAAGCTTCCATAGTAAGTATTTACTGAAGCAATTACTTAGCATTTAATATAATGTTATGAATATAATTCATGTGAAAAGTTTTATACCTTTGCACGGTAAAAGTAACTGAGGTACACTTAAAGGGTCATTTTAACTGTTGCAGAACTTTTGATTTCCTTTTATCATTTAATAGGATATCATCCAATTGTACAAATATTCATTGTATCTATATTAATTCATGTCATTAATTGTGAGTTCTCCATTTTTAGAATATTAATATTAATATTATAAATATATTATGATATTTATTATAATTAATGTGTATTTATATTTTTGTTCATAAATATGTAATAATAGTATTTAATAGAAAATACAATAGTTTTTATTTATATTTAATGTATATTTACATTTTTGTCCATAAATATTATGATATTGTAAGGACATTTTTGTAATTCAACTTTTGACATATAGGCTTTCCACTTATAATATAACTAGGGTAGGGAGGCCCGTGGCAAGCACGGGCCCAATAGTAAAAATATTATGGCTGTAAAAATATTGTAATATTAATGAATCAAGGGTCAGGGCGTTTGTAGAAGACATATAATATGATCTATTATATTATGTACTATTAGAAATATTTAAAATATGTACAATAAGACATAACTATGATGTCGAGTTGAACGGTTGACACATACTAACTAATGTAATAATAAACCAAAATAATATAGTACATGTTGCAGTTTTGGTATATAAGATTAGCATGTCATTGTCTATCATATTTAGAGGACACTGCAGTTTGCCTGTGCATAGCTAATCTTGCTGATGCAAAAAACCAGAGCGTAGGGAGAGTCATTCATTATATTGTCCTTAGCATAAGCAAAAGTGACAAAATGGTGTGAGGGAGTTCCAGTAATTAGACAGTTTAAAGTATGTTAGAAAGTGCAAATATGGCAACAGATAGCAAAGCAATTTTAATATAGGGAGCAAATAGAAAGAAAAGCATGAAATCAGCATAAAACTGATGGACTTGCGGTTGAATCTGTGTGTGATTGGCGTAATAGTCTACGGTGAATGAGGTTAGCTAGTAGACAGAAACCTCGTTCCTATTGTTCCTATTGATAACTGTGTATTATAAACAGTGAACATGAGAGGAGGAATTAAAAAAGAAATTGTTAACCAATTGATTTGAGCATGGATATGAACATGGATAGAGAGTTTTTAGCCCTGAGTTAATGGGAGACTGTGCAATATTATGTCAGACATAATAAATAAAACAAATTTGAGAAATTTGAAAGCAGATAAGAGCAATTGCAAAAGCAGCAGTATGACACTTACAATGTTTTAGAGGAATTATGTGGATAGGTGTATAAAAGAAAGTAAACTACAGGTAAAAGTAGAGACCTTTAGCAGCAATTTTAGCACTAAATGTAATTATGTGGAATTCATAATCATTTTGGGCTATAGTTTGGTGTGAAAGTGAGATGTAGACTGACCTTTTACACCTTTTTGGTTGGTGTGGGTGGTTCAAATTTTGCCGGTGCATTTGAAGGACCAGCTGTAGCAGTTGTTGCCATGACTTCTACCTCACTTATTTCCAAAGGCTTTATCTTTTTAGGAGTCCTATCAGTAGTGCTCTGTGGAGTATGTTGTTTTTCCATGTAGGAAAGAATGGACAAA